AAATATCTTAGAATCTTTGAGTGTTCTTTGAAAGGACACACATCCTAACACTTGTGCAAAATTGATGAAACGTTTTTCTTCAATCAATGAAGACTAACCCTCTAAGTGTGAAGAAATTAATGAAACATTTGATTCTCAAAACCCTACAACAATTGTACGCGGTGTATGAAATCATCATTCTTATATGGTGGGTCACGCCGCCAACCAAAGTTGAAAATCTTCAAATTTGAGTTTTTCATCATTTTGCAAATTATTCAAATTCCTCAAGTTTGCAATTTCTTCAACTTTTCAACTAGTGTTCTTTATTGACTATATATATATATATCCCTAATCTCTCCCTAATAATAAAGCACGGATTGGGTCTCCGGGTTCACCGTCGCTGCGTTTTTGCAAACAAGTCCCTCATCTTTTATGAAATCAACCCGCACTCCATATGGGCATCATCAACCGGGTAGAGGAAAAAAACACGTCGTCGTCGGTCTCGCACACGAAGGAGCAGTCCGTCTCCAACACGAACACGAGTGCGAACTAAAAAAGTCTATCTGTCGCTGATTTCCCCTCATCCCTGTCTCTTCTGATCTCTCTCACCTCTCGTTGCTTCCGACCGTCGACTGATTCCGAAAAGCGCCACGCTCGACGCAGGCGTGCTCGCTGCCGCCGCCGCCGCGCCCCCGTCCCCCTCTCCCCGGTGCCCGTCCTCTTTCCACCGTCGCCGAATCCGGACGAGACCGGCAGGATCCGCCGCATCTCACGCCCGCGGCCCGCCGTGGCTTTCGGCGGCATCGGGGGCGCCGGTCCGCCCCCGCTCCTCCGGGGCTGGCAGAACGGCGGAGCGGCGCTCTGGTCAGGTTCCTCTGCTTCGAGGGCGGCGCGTGGGCTGATGTCGAGGGCGAGGCGGTTGTGCCTCTGCGCCGGGCGTTCCTGGACGGGAGGGTGATCGCAGAGGCCGCGTATGGCGGCAGGGAGTTCCTGTTCGACTTCCTATGGATGGTGCGCATCGACGCTGGCACCGCCGAGGTGGTCGCCATGGGCTGGATTGACCGCGGGGCCTGCTTCTTCCCTGTGCCAGAAAGCGGGAGGAAGAGGAAGAGGGGCGAGCATGAGCTGGGGGACGGGGCGTCGTCCGAGGTGGATGAGAGGTCCGACGAGAGCAGCGACATGGTGGAGTCCTCAATCCAGCCTAATCTCCTGCCACTCTCAAGCACTCCTCGTGCAGCAGGCCTGATGTGTAGGCTGCCATGGCAAGGCTACATCCATGCATTCGGTACTGCTATCTCCCCCTCTCTCTCCTGATTTGCCTCTTCCATTCTCTCATTTGATTTAATCCCTTGAGCATATTTTCTTATGTATGCCTACAACATGCTAGGTGATTGTCTGATCTACCATGTGATTTGCGGTTCATGCGAAGTCATGAAATCTGGTCCGGATAGTGACATGATTTACTCTGTTTGATCAAATAGGTAGAAGCCGAAGCTGTTTTACTTTAGTCTGATGAAGTCCGTGCTGCTATAATCTAGGAAATCGAAAAATTCAACATTGGCAAGCTGGTCTTGTGCTCTTTGTCTAAAAGCATATTCTGAAAGCGAGGTTCTTATTGTGGATGTTTCAGCGTCAACCTGAATTTTATTTAACCTACTACAGAAAGACCTTCTAGGGTGATTAGCTGCAGTACTGTGACAAATAATCAAAAAAGATCATTGTCTTCTCATTTAATATTCTAGCTGCCGGCCAAACATTGAAGGTTGCACTACAACTACTTGATTACAAGTTTTATGTGAATTTTTTTTGTACAGCTTGCACAAACTCAGTGAGATCAGGAATCATCATCTCTCACATTTTTTTCTCTTCAAAGGGAGGTTTCATCTCCTACATTTTTTTCTCAGAATCAACCATGTTTCTAATCCTAACCAGAAAGTTTCCATCGCTCGGCTCCTGATGGCATGATGCCTCATTTAAATTCTCTTATGTCATGGTGTTTGTATTCAGAAAATTAATTTATGATGCCTCATTTAGATTCTCTTATGTCATTGTGTTTGTATTCAGAAAAATAAGGCATGCTTATCTTATCTCGGTGTGTTTGTGCTCAGAAAATTAATTTGCTTATTTTTGCTTTTTGAGGGCTATAACAATAGATTTCATTTTTGAAAATCTGCTTCTTCCCTGTTCCAGAGAGCAGGATGAAGAGGAAGAGAGGCGAGCCTGAGCTGGAGTACGGGGCCTCGTCCGGGGTGGATGAGAGGTCCAACGAGAGCAGCGACAAGATGCAGGGCCAGCTCCTAGCCGCTGCGCGCGGCGCCGACGGGGGCAATGCCAAGTTCGCGTGGTATGGCGCTCCATCGGTGGATGTGGGCGCGGCGGCGGTGGAGCACGGGTTCGGCAGGATGAACAACCGGGTCCTTTTCCATCGCGCGCACGGCGACGACGTCCACCTCTCGCCGCCTCGGTCTCCTTATGCCAGGTCAGGTCAGAGTTCTGAATTTGTGGTTTTGATCGATGGCAAGCATGAATATAGGCATATAGCTGTAGGATAATTTATCAAACACAGTTACCAATTCAGGATCTGTTCCAAATTGCATTCATATTATCCCTCCGTCCCATAATATAATTGATTCCATGTTATTTTAGCCTTTGGTTTCTATATCTTGATTCATACTCCTAGCTCAAAAATTATGGGGAAACAAGTTTGCATGAACGACAGTATTAGTTTATCTATGAATGCAGTAATTTGATTGGGTAATGGTTTGTGGAAGGGTGGAATACGAGCAAAACTAAATCATGTTTCCTGCTACCTAGAGTCCGGGTGATGAAATATGTTCTGAATGTTCTGTGAAGCAGTGCATAAAGGAACTTACGAGTATGAAATCATTTTTATGCAGCGCAATGCTAGCAAATGCAGATGAGAACGGCGAGGCGCATATCATGTTGTGACGTGTTCTGTTGGGCCGGCCAGAGGCCATCCCGGCCGGGTCCTCCAAGCTCCACCCCAGCAGTGACAATTACGACAGTGCCATCGACAACATGCAGAACCCACAGTGGTATGTTGTTTGGGGCAAGGACATGAACATGAGGATCCTCCCAGAGTACGTCGTCAGCTTCAAGTGTCCCAACCTCCATCAGATGCAAGGTTAGTGAGTGCTCCGTCTGAATTGGTGTTGTAATTGTTCCGAGATGTGCCTGGATCTCATTATTCGTTGAAATTTTGGGTTTTAGGATCATCGGGAGCGAACTCCACGCTAAAGAAGCCTTCGCCGGTGGCTCATGACATGTTTCCGACGCTTCTAGCAGAGATCCAGTGGTTCATGCCATCTTCCAAGCTGCAGACATTGCAGGGGACCTACAATTGCTTCAAGGTAAATTGGTGGGGGTGCTTATTAGTATAGGGTGTGCCAATATAATAGCAATTACGGAAAGAAATCTAGAGAATTGGTCTCTGGCAGGGGGACTCTTGAGAATGGAAAACGGGGGAAGGGAGATGAGTTTGGGTGTCTTTTTTTATATATAGAAAAGGAGAGTGTGTTTTATCTGTAAGTGAAGTGTGTACGTGAAGTGCTTTTTATTGGCTAAGCCTAAATGATGAAAAAAATAAAAAGAATCTTCCCAACCAAGCAACAAACTCTATTGATAAAAATCAACATAGTAGAAATAGTTAAAAAAATGTACATAGTTATATATTTATTCACACTTTCTAAAAACTGGTCAAATTTTCCTTAAAAACCAAAATAAAAAGTATTCACAATATTTAAAAAACATTCAAATAATGTTCTCCCTAAAAAAAATCGAGTTTTAATAAAACATTCACTTTTAAAAACAAAGAAATATTCATGTTTTTCATAAAAAAGTAAAAAATAAAAATTGATTCACAAACTATTCCAAACTAATCTTCCATCAGATAAAGAACGCTAAGAGGGCTTTTTAACGTGCAAACTTCAGACTCTGAAAATAATAATTAATGCAACTTTATTACAAATGTTAAACTATAGTGCATAATATCACATGGATAAGGATGTATATAGATGGATTTTAAAGTGAGATTCACCCATTTCCACCGTTTGTAGTCCATATTAAAAAATCTTCTAAGACTTTATTTAGAAACGGATGGGGTACTTTGTTTGTAGTCTTTGTACAACCTGCTTCGTTCAGAAGAATGTTCTATCAAAGCAACCATGTCTGATATGTTCACATGAATTCTTTCATGTGGCCGTCCCTCACATTCCTTTGCTTTCAACTATTCCAGCCAGCTGCAATGAAGTCCTCCATAGAGAAGGGTTTGCAGAAAATGATCTTGGCATCCCAGATAAGCAGGTCGGGGTCAAAGCCGGTGCCCGAGGGATTTCAATGGATCACCAACATGAGAAACTGAAATGGCAGGACCAGAAAAGATGGTCCCAGATCTCACTGCAGCCGGATGTGCAAGAACACATCAATGATCATCTGTGAGACTGTGACACTGGAATTTTGTTGATGGAGCATTACCTCTGCTATTTAGCTTCTAGAGTACAATGACTTGTATGTCCAACTATAACAGCTAGCAGCATGGTTTATCCCCTTCTGGTTGTACAATTTCTCTAGAGTGATGGCATAGGAAGAGCATGTGTATATGTTGAGGTTAGTCTTCTGATACTAATGCTCTAGATGTTCTTTGTAAACTAATGCTGCAAGTGTTTGTTTGGGACAAGACAAATAGTGTCCCAATTTTTATGAAAATGTGAATTAACTTTTATTAAAAATAAGAAAATTACCAAAATTAACCTAATTATCGATGTTTATTGAAATTGGACATAAAAATGATGCATAATGGCACATGAAGCAGATTGTGCCCTTTTTTTGCCCGGTGCAACGCACGGGCATTTGTACTAGTCTCTCCCTAATAATAAAGCACGGATTGGGTTTCCGGGTTCACCGTCGCGGCAATTTGCGAAAAAGCCCCTGTAGTTTTTGTTATTCAACCCGCAATCCACGTTATAAGTCAATGCGAACCGGTAAAGACGAAATAGAAAAACTCAGGCACCCTGCCTGGCTGCCTCCCAATCCCATCTCCGCCTCCTGCCAGGGCCCGCCCCGCGCCTGACCATGCGCCGCCGCACCACATCCGCGGCCGACCCGTGATTGCCAAAGAGCGAGAGGAGGAGCACGACGTTGGATCTCGGTGCCTCCAGCCCCCTTCCCACACAACCCCGATGATCTCCGCGACGTTGGATCTCGGGGACGAAGCCGCTTCTTCCGCGGCATCCGCGCAGATCGAAATCAGTTCCTCCCCGTGGCTCTCCTTCACTTCCCGCTGTCCTCGGGCCCAAGCCGCCGACGAAGGCTGTTGTATGGCTAGCACGAGGCGGCTGGACGATGGCTACCACAACGATGCACGAGGAGGCTAGCCCAAGGCTGTCGGACGACCGCAACCACGGAGATGCAAGAGGAGGCAAGCCCGAGGCGGCCGAACGACAGCGATATGTCATCCTCGACTAAGGCTGGTTCCTTCTGATGGTGGGCGGCGCCAGATCCAGTCATTCTCCTCGAGCTCCCCGTCGTCGTGCTACCGTGGGCGTCTTCGCCAACATCTCACGCCGGTGAACGTGTCCTACCGGTGGTTCCTCCTGCCGTCATAACGTAAACCAGCAAAGCATGTGCGCACGGTGGAAGATGCTCTCGCTTCCGCGGAACGCACGCCTCCCCTACGGTCACGGACAAGGTAGACACCCTCTTGGTGCGTGATGTTTTTACTTCCCTGGTGTTTGCCGCGTGATGCTCCTGCTTCCCTGCTTTTTGATGCGTGTTGTTGCTGCTACTACTTTACTACTGTTGCTAATTTGCCCCTTGGAACTCAAAAGGAACATATGAATTTTGCGACTGAAGCATATGTGATCAGCTGTCCTGTTACAAAACAGTATTTTCTAGCATCATGCAAAGAATCATAATGTGCACTTAGTTCACCCCAGCATACAATCATTTTATTTGGGGAAGCATATACAGAAATTGAATATACAAAAAGAGACATTTGTGAGTTTCCAATAGAGACGCAATATGCAGAAACTTCAAAGCCGCCTCAAAGTATAGGCCTGTACTGCAGGTGGACTGTGCTCAGAACATATAAAACAAGTTGATATAATGGGTACATCATGCTCAAAAAATTTAAAACGAAGTGGACATCAACAACTTCATGATTCGCCATATGCTTGAAGTCTGAATTAATGGAAATTGCTTGTTTCATAAAGCCACGTTGATAGCCAATTTCAACATTGGATCACCTCAACTGTGCTTTCATTTTAGAAGCATCAGATTTTACTGGAGTGGACTGAACCTCTGATTTGCCTTCTTGCAAATACATACGGAAATTTAAATATTTCCTCATGCCCAGTGTAGAGTATGCAAACTTCATAGTGGAAATAAAGGACTGACGACACTGACAATGAGTTTTGTCAGTGGAAAGAGCAAAGAGTGATGCCGCAGTCTGAATGCTGGAATCCGAAGGAATTGACCTACTATTGGTACACTATACAAAGCATAAATGCCAATCCTTCATTTTCTTTACTGAAAAATCATTAGTCTTCATTAATATTGTTCTCCATCTTTGTTGTTTCTCCAATTCAACAAATTCAAGTTATGGCCTTATGCTTAGCTATCCATTCTTTATTATTTGTCTGCTATGTTAGGATGTTAATTCAATTGAACATTATTTTAATGCACTTCAATTCAGTTTCCCTTTCATTTGCCAAGGCTACATCAATTTTGATTGTCACTGTAGAGCATATTTAACTAACTACGACTTGTTTCCCACGCTATTTTATGCTAAATGTTTTCCCCTTTTGATTGAAATCCCCTACCCACTCCACCGTTTGATGCTTACTCTTTTTTCTGTACAACCGAGATGGTCATAAATCGAGCTCTTTTCTGTAGCAATCTGAGCTACATCGACTGCTTCATATTTTCAGCATTTTTCCTCCCTGCTTCTCCTGGTCCGTTGAGAAATATGTGTCTTGAAGTTCTGTACTAAAGACTATAGGCCTGCACATGGTCATTCAGCACTGAAGGTCAATGTTGCACTTAGGCCGATTGGGGTCTGAACATGCAAGAAAAGGAAGGAAAATTAGTAAAATACAAATCTTGCTTCAACAAAAATGTTGACAATATGCTTTACTAGATCATTAGCTTTGACAGGAAAAATAATCTGTCAGAATTGCAGGATTTCTTCAATCAAATCATTAGCAAATGCCAAAGCCTTGAGGCTACCACTACGAATGAACCAAAATTGTGAATTGGTTAAGCAAAGAGCAAGACTGCACCATTGACTTTGCTTGCTATTGGCGTGTGTTTAACATGCTGGTTTGGGTCAGACAGTTGATGCGGGACTCAGAAATTGACTCGGAATAATGATCGCAAGTGGAAGAAATCATCACAGTTAGGACGAGCTTGAGGTTGCAGCGGCGGAGCCAAGAGTGAGTGCAACCGAATAGGCCCCAAGTTGGTGATGCTTGCACTAGAAACCGCCATGCATTAGTAGATCTCCTGCAAATATCGTCCTCGGTTCCCATCACTTTCAATTTCATAAGAACACCCAAATCCATGCGCATGAAGGAGAAATGGATGATCACTAGCCTGTGTATTTGTGATTTTTAAGTGCAGCCCATTGGCAGTTTTATTTGATTCCAATTAATAATGTTGATTGTACACTATTTATAATCATTACATGTATTATGTTATGTTATCAATGACTTGATTTCAAGGCCGCAATTCACAATTTTATTATCCGTCGCAACACACATGCCTTTTTGCTATTTATATAAAACCATCATCAACAAACAAACAAAGAATATAAAAAAACTATTTCATGATGGGAGAAGGACTAATGCCATTGGGGTTCTGCAAGGAAAATGGTATTTTTTAAGCTTGCTTTTAGATATTTTGACAAGAAATGTGAGGCACTCTTTATCATTTCTGCTTACTTCAGTAGACTGCTTGGTTGATTTGTTCTACTATGCCATGACTTCAGAAATGTCCATTATTTATAGTAAATGTGCTAAGTTATCTTTATATGATTATATCATATAAGTATTGTTCAATCGGTGGCAGCAACCTTTAAAGTGTGGTGTTGGAGAATCTTTTTAGATTTGGTTCAACACCTGACGAGTGATTAAACTCCATGTTGATTGCACTTTGCACATTCTGAAATTGTTAGATCAATTTAAGCATGCGGAGAAGCCTCTAGATTGCCACATTTATATGTATGAGTGGTCGACATGGTCAATGTTCAACCCGTAGCAATGCACGGGCACATTTACTAGTAATAATAAAGCACGGATTGAGTCTCTGGGTTCACCATCACAATACGCTTCTTCCCATAAATTTACACTTTCAGTTTTTTTCACCTATATTATTTTCTACATCCGAGATGGTACTATTCATCTTTTCGTCAATTACCAAATCCACCTATCATCGCCGGCATAACCATAAAAAAGATCATTAAAAAAGCATGAGCCGTTATTAAAACATTATAAAGTTGATGATTCCCACCAAGAATTTGATCGCCGGGTCGGGCTAATTCCATACGAATCAGTACGGAGAAGCATGTGCCCATCACTCCTGCAATGGCACCGAAGATGAAATAGAGAGTCCCAATATCCTTGTGGTTAGTAGAGAAGAGCCATCAAACCATATTTGTCATTTTTTATTTGAGAAATGCAAACTTTCCTTATCAAAACGATTCGTTTCTCTGCCCGTCGCATCGCGCCCTGCCCGGCCCAAGCGCCCACCAAAACCAACCAATCCGAACAGGACTCTAAGCCATGCACCCTCATCAAAAGAAAAAGTAAACAACGTTTCATGGGTACAGCAAAAAAAACATGAGTCGGACGCCTGCCTACCTGCTCGCCCGTCCCCACGCCCCAATCCCTTTTTTGGCCCAATCGAAATTGATGGCGGCCGCCGCACCGCTCGCCACCGCCGCTGATGCCAACCTCCCGCAAGTCGCTGTTGTTTCCTCCTATGGCGCGCCGCTCCCGACCAATCCGGCGAGGCCTGCGTGCCACCTCCCGACTCTTCCCTTCCCCGGTCTGGAGCACAAGCCTCCTTTCCCTCCACCCCAATCTGGCAGTAGCGGCAGGAGCTAGGCCACCGGCGACGAGGCTAATTTGTCCGGCAGTAGCTGTTGTTATTCCACAACCAATTATACTGCTACTCCATCCCATGGACTGGCCTGACCGTTGCTGGTAGGAGGGAGGCGTGCGGTCATGACCCTGGCGCGCTGGGCCGGGGTCTAACTGGGCGGGCGTGTGTTGTCGCTGCCAGGCCACTATACGGGCGTCGCAGGGCGTGTTGCAGCTTCAGGATTCTGCTAGGAGCTCCTGGGATGTGCTCATGCATGCTTGGTTGGAACCTTGTCTTTTTGGTCAATGGATGAATCAATGGCGTGTCAGGACTAACTAGGTCATACGTGTACCTCACTATCTACGGATAGCTCTCTCGTCGTATCTGCACAACATGAGAACAATTTGATCAATGAAGATGGGTTTCTTTCCTACTGGTGCCATTGTATGTGCATGCACGCCTCAACTATCTTCTTTCCTGTTTACTGTCAGGTAGTTCTTTCAGATCCAATTTTTTCTAGCTACTTGATGTTTTCTTTCTTAGCTGTAACTCATTTGCCATTTGCAACAGCCAAATCATCATGTTAAACGTTTTTTGAAGATTTGTATGCCAATTGACATGTCATTTATTTTCTAAATAACCTATTGTTGATTGTGTCTGATCTCCTTTCTGACATATTAAAAGAATAAGTTCTCGTGCTCAGGAAATACAATTGGGTTGATTATTATTTTGACTTATCGCATCGGGTAAATAGGATTTCAGTGTACATATATTTCGTTTTGAACAGGGATACAAACTACAGCATAATGAGTCACTGAAAACTCTGCGTCTTAATCCTGCCCTATTTTTCTGGGATCGAAATCTTCATATCTATGATAGACAGTTCAAAAAACTATTTGAACCTTGGAAGGGTTCGGTTCTTCAAATTTTTTGCAGCCCATGCATTTACTATTTTAAGACATGTTGTTTACATTAAGGTCATAGACATTGTTCTATAAGATGGGGTTCAAAGAACGGTTTTGAACCTTGGAAGTGATCTGTTCTTATAATTTTTGCAGCAGGGGAACTATTTGTGGATGTAATATGCAGCTAAAGGTATTCCAGCATGAGCTTGCATGCGCAACATCAGTGATTAAAGTAAAGGCTTCAGGACTTGAGGTAAAGTACGCCCATAGCTCAACCTGATTCTCTTAGTACAGAACTACAGATAACCTGATTCTCTCAGTACAGATAACTTGATTATTATCTTTCCATCGAGCAACAATGGAGTAGCACTACTCACAACCAACTGCAGAAATCCCATGTGCCAAAAATCCCGTGTGCCAAAAACCTCGTTGCAACTGGAGATCCGCATGCGCTGCTGGACATGCTATGC